TGGGTGCAGTCAAGGTCTACAGGTGTAGCTGGGACCCTTCAGCCCTTGGCTTCAATGCTGCCGGCACAGTCACCATATACCGCCCCCAGGGATGCCCCCAGTGCTTGCCTGTGTCCTGGGGCTGTACCTGCAACCCCCTCATCCTGCATCTCCTGCCCCTAATCCCACAGAGCTTTTCCTTTACTCACCTGGGGCCCCAGGCACTTGGCTCATTTCAGGAAGGAAGAGCTGATGTTTCCTAAGAACAAAACATATTACACTAGGAGTGTTTGCAAGGAAGTCAAAGCTTTTAACAAAGCCAATAGATCACCACCTTAAAAAAGGACTTTGACCAGTGTGAGCCAAAGAAGCCCATAGCCATGCTCAGCCAGCAGCAGGGCGTGGCTGCAGTGGGCAGCCCTGCAACATCCACAGGCAGACAGAAGGGGTGCAGAGGGGTTCCAAATCCTCACTAAATGAAAGACACCTACTAATAAAAATACACATACATACAAAACTAAAACTACCTGGTTCCACAGTGCTGATGTTAAGACCTTGTGGGAAGGAATGGCACATACAATTGGTGAAGCTGGGCATTTAAGGAAAAGATCAGCTCATGGGACCCAGATCAGGAGAGCAAAGCTGTAGTAAAGGGCAACTGCCATATACCTCCAAATAAAATTTGGTTCCTTAATCTTGGGGAAGCAAGCTGGGAGAAAGCCACAGCCGGTCCTTGCCAACAGAGCTTAAAGATTAACTTCCTTCCAGTTTTTTGACCTTCATGGCCAGTGTATCCTAATATCAATAAGGCTCCAAAACTCCAGCCTCCACCCTTTGCTACATGCTCAAGAGAACAAATCCCTGCTGCCATGGGTCACAGAGAGGCAAAACAACTCGGGACCCAGAAACCACCAGCTCGAGTCTGGCAGCCAAACAAGGCTGTTTGCCAAACCTTCCTGGCGAAGGCTTAGCACAGACACAGTCCATAGGGGACCACACAGGGGAGCTCTGCAGGGCCTGCCACAGCTCCTCCATAACCTCCACACAGCAAATGATGTTAAGTTATGCATTTTATAGCTCAGTAAATCAGAAGGCGAAACAGGCTGAGCTCCTAGCTCCAGCTAGGGCTGGGCTGCCCACATGCTTTTCGCACAGAGAAACAACTTGCAGAGAGGCAGAACGGGAGGCCAAGTCCCACAGTCCTCCCCCACAGCCCAGGCAGTCACTTTGCCACCAGAAAGGAAGAGGTTTCTGCTAAGGCATACAGGACAGGAAGAACGTGATGAGCAAGACACTCTTCACAGGCTCCACTTGGATATTTGCCAGGTTTTGTTGTGTCCGGATAAGTTTCATTCCAGGGGACTGCTAGCTTCAGCACACTCAGAACTAACAGCATAGAAGGGCATGCACATCTTCAGAGGTCCACCCAGGCTTGCAAAACACAGCTGGAAGCTTGTAATGGATCCCTGCTCTAAAAACTTCATGCCTGCATATGAAGCATCCCAATATCCAAAGACAAAATTCCAATGGGTATGGGTGGAGGGCAAAAGGGAGAGCACCAGCTTGGGATTCCTCAGCACTGAAACCCTTGCTGTAACCTCAGCAAGTAGAGGTTCCCTACTTCAGCAGTGGATCGCAGCAGACAGAAATTGCAACCATATTTCAAGCCTGCCTGCTTAATGGAAACTGAAATCTTATCTGATCCAATTTGCTCATCTAGAGGCAAAGAGTCAATTAGCTGAAACAACAATTTCTCACACCTAGTTCTTGTAGCACTTCTTTGAAAGCAATATACTAGTTAACACCACAGACTTTTTAACATCACATTCAGCAATTCCTACTTGCCAGTGCAACCAGGGTACTGATGCCTCTGGACGCTGGCATCTGGAGACAACTACTTCTCTAAACATTTGGCAAAAGGGAAAAGAAACAGTGATCAGAACCAAAGAAATCAGGCAGGCATTCTCTACCCTAATGAAACTATCTCCCAAGGGAAGCTATGGACACCTCTTCTAAGATCTTTGTGGGGTTTTCTTTTGACTCTCCCCATTCCTGAACATCCTCTCCCAACCATAACCCAGGAAACTGCAAGAGATAGACATGAGGTCCCAAACAGAAACCACTGATGGAGCTGGGCTGGTGATGTGGTGGTCCATGGACAGAATGAAGTCCCTGGCTGATGGAGGCCACTCCAACACTTTCAGGAGAGTCACTCCATTGGCTCTGAGCTGTTCTTATTCCAAATCCTAGGAAGAAGAATTGAGATGGAGAGGGAAATAGCTTTGCTAGGGAAATAGCTTTGCTAGGGGAGAGGATGCATAGACTGATGCACAAGCCTTTAGTGTAGTTAAATAAGAAGGATAACCCCTCCCCCTCAAGCTCCAAGAGATGATGGAGATGGCTGTGGAAGGCTATTTCCCAAGGACAGAGGTAGAAAAGGACAGCACTACCTGATTGAAGCATGTGCTCCCTCCCCCTGAACAGGGCACACAGCAGTCACAGCTCCATTGACTTTGAGCAGGACATGGAACACAGGGCACTACCTGGTGCACTGCTCAGAAACAGAATAAAGAAACCTGATGACAGGGTAAAAAAAAAAGCCATGCAAAAGGTAGAACACATCGCAGTCCAGCAAGAGGCTTATGGGGCTGACCCATTCCATCTGTCAGCAGCACATGAATGCATGATAACACCTTAAAACACACTCTCCTGACATGGATGCTGTGAGGAGGAGAAAACTGCACCCGTGGGCAAACATGACACTAAGCCCCAGCTGCTCAGAGGAGGACACAGCAGCAAAGGCTCCTGCTCACTTCCAAAAAGGCGCACAGGCAAGAAAAGAAGTTGTATGGCAATTCAGTGTCATTTTCAGTTTGGCTTTTATTTTCAGTGACTTCAACAACAAGGTGTTCCAAAACACAGAGGTCTTGGTGAAGACAACACTGTCATTGCTACAAGCATTGGCAGATTCTCAGCTCAATTAACCCATAACGCTTTGATGCATCAAAACAACAACAACAACAAAATCACAGCTCTACAGGAGAGGGTAAAAGCTACAGCAGTTCGAACTCACTTGAAGATTCCAGTTATACAGAAGTGGGCTCCGTAATGCTATCCAGTAGAAATAAGGTTTTCACAGCATATATTTTTATTGTTAGTGGTGCATCAGAAAAGCTCCATCTCACTGATGAGTTGAAAAGCAGATACTGAAGTTCTTGTACCCAGATTATGGACACAGCACTAACTGCATTAACCTTTATAGACAGAAGCTTCCTAGTTCCTAAAAATGATTTTGTTCCTTTGCATCAATATTAGTACAATACTGAAACAGCTCAGAAAGATTACACAATGGAAACGCAAAATCTTGGATGTGAGAAGGGCACAGCCTCATTCACCTCCAGGAATTTGTTAACCGACTAAGACTTGCCCCACGCTAACACTGCCCCGCTGAATTAATTATTGCATCAAGAGCAGAATTACTTGCTTCTTTTGTGCCATACAGAAAAAAAGATAAGAGACATAGTAAGTTCTCACACTGAGCATGTTAAATACTTTGAAATCTAGGACACTGCTCTTTGAAGTGTTACAAAATAAAATGATAAAACAGGCTTTCAGTACCCACCCCTCCCCCCTCAACTGCAAAGTAACACAGGAATCTCAGTATGAAAAATACAAATATATTCGTCCAGTCACTAGTTGTTTGTTACAAGGTATACTGTAAGCGATCTGCATAAAAATAATAATTAAAAAAAAAACGAAACAGAAAAACAAACAACATTTTATTGTGGTTCTGTGTGACCCAGTAGCCCAAGAAGAAATAAAAATTGCCATGTTCTGCTGTAGGAAAACAAAAATTACACATACAAAAATATTTATATACACATTTTACAGTCACCATCTGGCATAACCATTTATAGCTAACCCAAATAGGCTTGCACAGTTACCAAAAGGCAATTTGTTGTCTTTGAACACAACATAGACCTGGCACAGCAGACAGATGGAGGATGCTAACCATATTGGACTTAAATGAAATACATGGCACACAGCAGGGCTCAGGAAACAGCCACTGCATTGAAACGAGATTGTTTGGCTGTAGCAAGGTAGGATGACAAGTCATTTAAGCTGTTTTTTTCATCTTACCGCAGACAAAAAAGTTCAGGCCTCCTGTTAAAAAGAGCAAGCCAATTTGAAAGCAGCTGTGCTGAGCCTTGCTCCTCAGCTTAGGTATATTTTGTATTCATTGGAGTCTCACTACCTTGGCCCATAAAAACATGAAAACACCCTGTTCAGTAACTTGTCCACAGGACCACTGGCAGTCAGAGGAAATGCCTCAGAGCACATCTGTTGCAGAACACAAAGAAAAAACCAGAGAAAAATCAAGTTCTCATGTAAACATTACTTTTTGCAGTAACAACACTTATTATATGGTCCTTGATTTAGGGTAGTTGGCAGTTCTTTCTTTTTTGAGTCTCTACTTTTAGCTGATTGTCACTTAGCCTATAAGTCAACAGCAACAAAACACAAAAGGCTCCAGCCTATCACAGATATATCTAAAGACAGTTCTACTTTACTTCAGAGGAAACCAATCTAGCCTGGTCTAAATAAAAGATCATCTGAGTTTAGGATAGCTGAAGCCCTACAGATCAGTGTGCAGCTCTTGGTCCTCCATTCAACCGGAGGTTAGGTGGACAAATCCCTATGCTAAACTAGCCAGGCTGCGTGTTTGGCAAAGCCTAATTCTCTATCTTAAATGTCAGTAGTAGTACATAATGGTTAAAGGCTGGGTGGGGGCAGAATTCAGTGGCAGTGGTTTTATTTACACTTATAGCCTGAAAGAAGCAAACCAGGACATACATATGAATGTAAATCCAAAACAAGAAAAGACAGCACATTTGTTTTTTCCCAGAGAAGGTGAGGGAAGAGGGAAAATGGAAAAGTAGGATGCAGGTGCCATAAGTGCTGGCCTGCCCAGCAAAGTGCATGTGCTGTCTCCGCTGAAGAATATTACACATGAACAGAGCACTCAGCTCCATGGGAAGAAGTTGTTTAAGTGCAATGTTCAGTAAACCGATTCCCATTTATTTTTTGGATGGTCAGTTCAGGGTTTGGTTGCTTTAGATTTTTTGCATTTGCTGTTGGTGTGGGTTTGGTTGTTTGGTTTTGGTTTTTTGGGGGTTGTTTTTTTGTGGGTTTTTTTTGGTTTTGTTTTTTTTTGTTGGTTTTTTTTTTTGCTTTAAAATAATTTTATTTTAGCCTTCCTGTTTTCAAAGTGGGATCGCTGGATGATGGAAACAAGTTTGCATGTCAGGACACTCACAACGTGTGTGAGGATTCAAAAGTCAAGAAAAGAAGCCCTCTCCCCAAAGGAAAACACAAAACAAGAACTCCTTCTCAAGAAGGTATCAACAGAGTTTTCAAGGAAATACCACCCGCCTTCCCCCTTTGCTCAGCTCTTCCCCTTGCAAGAGCTGGGGTGGAGGTCACAGTCCAGGAGTATGACCTAGACAGCATCAAGGGCATAACCTGGCATGAGTGAGCAAGAAGGTTCCCTCCGCCCTTCGTCCAGGGGTGCAGTACCAAGCAGAAGGAAGACAAATGAAGGGCTGAGCAGTTTGTGGCCAAGGCGGGGTGGAGGGGGAGTCCGGGGGTCTCACTCCCCTTCCTCCTTGATGCGTTGCTGTTTGTTGCGCCGGGCATCCATGTCGAAGTTGAAGTCGTTCCACTCGTCGCGGGGCGGGAAGGAGATGGTCTGCCGGAGCGTGAAGCGCACGGCGTCGATGACGCGCTCCCCCCGTGTCTCACTGGAGCCCACGCTGACCGTGGAGGCGCCGCTGGGGGTGCGCAGGAGGTGAGGAGGGGAGGAGAAGTCATGGAGCTGCCGATGATCCAGGATGCCCTTCCAGATGGCATGGCGGAACTGCTCTGGGATCTTGAGGCTCACCAGATCCTGCAAGGCAAGGTGCAGGGCTTAGCAGGGCAATCACTCCCTGGGCAAGACGGGTTCCAGGAGTAAAATCAGCCAATGGGCCACCCTGCAAATGCCTATGAAGCACTAAAACTGCTTAAATCCATGTGGCCGCAATGCACTGCAGAAGACAAACCATGAGAGTGGTGGTTCACTTCTGAACAGGCATGTGGGGTCACGAGGCAGCAATGATCTGGTTTTAAGGCACAAGGTCTATTTTTAAGTTACACAAAACACACGTTCAGGCATAAGATATGGTGACCTAAAGCCAGATGCTTAACTGGACTGCAAGGCCTCCAAGGAAACCTCAGATCTGCTGGTTGTCAGTGGTGGGGGATGCTGGGCTGCTGAAGGTCAATGGCTTTGAAAACTTCTATGTTTATTTCAAAGGCTGCAAAAGGATTTTAGAATCCAAGTCTGAGCTCCAGTATTCAAATTTCTGGGTCCGACTCTATAGGAAATCTTATTTACTTGAATATAAGTTTAATAACAGAGATAGTCTTTGAAAACTTGTACTTTGAGGTCCCATCATTTCTGGCACAAAACCTGAGGGTTGCATTACCTAAACTCTGGGATCATGGTACCAGCTTTTGAAAAAATTAGCAACCAACTTTGGTTAATTTGGTTCAGCTTTTCTAATTAGAGCAGCAGCAGAAGGAAGGCAGCCCACACTAGGGAGCAAAAGCACCTCAGCCTTCCAAAGTCTCAGGGGAAAAAAAATGGGACAGCCAGCTCAGAGGAGAGCAATGGCTCAGGAGAGGAAGCAGCAACCCTGCAGTACAAGCCATGCAAGAGAAAAAAAAGAAAAACAACAAACAGGGCTGACATGCTAGTGGCAAGGGAAGATGATTAAGGTAAGGCCAGAAAACAGAAGCAGGGAGGGAAAAATGCAGACCACTTCTGGACAGCCTACTTGTCTGCAGGCGAGCGAGGTGTAAACTGAAACCGAGCCTTGCAGAATTAACAGGCGCGTGGGCTGGGGCCACTTCGGGGGCTAAAACAGAGTGCTGGGGAAGGGGAGACACTCCTTCTCTGTGCCAGGCAAGGCAGTTACAATGCTGGCCCTGAGTCCAGCCTCTCTTCACCTCACAACATGACTTCTCTGTGTGCTACAACCTTGAATCAAACTAATCATGTAAAATTAAAAGTATACTGAGTCTAGATTTCTGACCTGTTTCTAAAAGCAGGGCCAAGAGTGCAAACAAACGAAATGGTGAGGAGTTACTTACATCCATGGAGTAATGCTCAATCTGATAGATGGTGGTCAGCCCCTGGGTCGTGAAATAATCCACACAGGATGAGCAGCCCAACCTCGCTAAGAAGCTGCAGAGGAGGAAGGAAGGAAGGAAAGAGAAAATAGGATCACCCTGGCTGCAACAGCCCAAACCACAGAAAAACCAAACACTCAGCCAATCTGCAGCAACAGGAAACAAAGCTTTCACCCTTGGCTTGACCTCCTCCAAGACATCCCAAGGCCAGCAAGCCACATTGCTGCCATGTCAAACGAGGGAGTCCGTCAGCTCAGCACCTACCAGACAGCCCTCATGGTAGCACCTTGCCTTAGTCAAGAACTAGTGCTGCACAGCCTGGGTCTTGGGGCAGGAAGGCTCACACAGACCCTCCTGCCAGGTCCTGTCACCCAGCTGGTGTCTGAGCCCATGGCAGCCTGCTGCATGCACAGAGGGCTTCAGCAAGGCATGGGGTCTGGGGCTCAGACACACCATGCACTTCTAATCAGCGCATTCCTCTCTAAGCGTAAGGGATCATGGGCAGCATCTTTCAACTTGTCTGACCTTATGAAGGCCAGAGGGGATTCTGACCCCAGCCATAGCTTGTCAAGTGTCCAAAGGGGAAAAAAAGAAAATCAAGAAATGTTTGCAAGACTGCCTGGCACCCTCAAGCTCCACCAGTCCAACAGATGCTGCATCCCTCAGCTTTCTTGCAGTCCTAACATCCCTGTTTCTCTCAGCTGCTCAGAGGTGGGGATTTGAGGCTCGGTGCCCAGAGGGTGCCAGCCTCGGGACCGCCAAGGGCCCAGGGGGATCCAGTGCTCCAGTAGAATGGGACAAGGAACCTGGCAGGACCCTTCAGACTCCTGACGCAAGGCCTCTGCTCGCTGTGGGTGGGAAACATGCGCCGGGCAGCCTGCTCCCGCTCACCTGACGATGCTGCAGTCTGAGGGGTATGGAGGAGGGGGAGTGCAGTGGGACGTTGAAGGCATGGAGAGGGGAGGAGGCAGCGCCTGCGTGGGGCTGAGGCCATTCATGTCACCGGTCATGGCCATGTGGGTGCCCATCATGGGAACTGGAGGAGAGAAGAAGGAGGAGCACATTGTTACCCCGGCATCCCCAGACCCCTGCTTCGCCCCCAGCACGGCACCAAAGGACAGCACCCACAGCCCAAGCAGCTCTAAGTCCCCTGCAATGCCTTGCACAGTGTGAGCTCATGAGAAGCTTCAGCCGGGGACAAGGACCAGATGACAGACAGTCCTTCAGGAGCTCTCCTGTCACAGGAGCAACTGTCAGCAGTGCCTCTGTCATGTCACCTTGCCTCACAGACAGGCTTGATAGAAACCTAAGCAAGAAACCTCGTCTTGGCTTGCCCTGCCATGGGAGAGGAGTAGGACAGAGCCAGCAGAGTAACCCAATACAGAAGCCAAACAGCTTTGTTTTCACAGACACCAAGAGCACCCGAAGGGGATCAGCAACAGGTGTGGGCGAGAGTCCAGTGCTTTTGAAATAAATAAATAATAATAATAAAAAAAAAACCAACCAAAAAAACCCCAACAAAACTCAGCCCCCAGAACCACGTCTGTCATCCTGAATTTACAGGCCTGCTGGGCACTATTCAGCAGCCAGGAGGAACAGAGCTGTGAGATGCAGATATTTCTTTTGAAATTAAGAAGTGTCTTAATTGAACTGAGGGGAAAAAACTCTTGCTAACATTTGCATCTCCTCTGCTGGGAAAAGAAGAAGAAACAAATCTTGAAAGCCAGAGGACAGTGCAGCCAGCTAAATCTGCAGCAAGAAGCAGCAATGTTCACCCCTGCGAGGCTCTGAGCAGGATGCTGAAGCCTTGCCCCATGGCACATCAGTGAGCAATACTTATTTGGCTCTGCAGGTTCAGAGCAAATGACTCCAGGCTCTCCAGCTTAACACTAGCCACTTGGAGATGCCAAGTCTCCTTGCCCAGACTAGCAGGGAGCACACAGGGAACAGGAAAAGAAGGAATAAGGGTTTCTTACTGTTGGTTCCCATGCTGTCGGGGATGGTGGTTGGGGTCAGGGCATTGCGCTGCTGGGGGTTGATGAGCTGGCTGACCGAGGGCAGCTTGTTCATGCTGTTCATTTTGCTGAGTGGTGGAGAGTTAGAGCCGTAGGATGACTGTGACTGCATGGAGGTCCTGCAAACCAAGGAGAAGTTAGGACAGGAATCACAACAGTGGGTTGTTAAGAATGTGCATCCAAGGGGTTACATGACCTACTGCTAGTGACATCACTGACACCATAGGAGCATCACAGATAAAGATCACTGGAGAGTGAGTCAACAGGACAAGAAGTTTCCCAGGTATTCTTGTCGTTTATTAAGAAAAAAAAAAAGTGAAATAACAAAAAGGGAAAGTCTTTACTTAAATAAGAATTTTGAACTAAAGGTAGAATGTCAACGTAGTTTTTCAGTTGAAAAGAATATACGTAAAGCCAGCAAGCAGCCACCAAAATTCAAAGTGCATTTTTAAGTTAAGCTCTCCTTGTGCTCAAAAACTTTTTTCATAAGAATAAGAACTGAGGAAGCCATTTCAAACCATCCAAACTACCCCTGACACCTGACTGCAGAAACAATTCTCAGATCAGGTGGCACTTATCACCTTGGTTTCTCCAAAATTCATAGGTATTCATATAATCAGGTTGTTATCAGGTGTATATTTAACGGTCAGAAGCTCTTTGCTCAAGACAGATTCCATACACCTTAGGGACCGCTACTAAGATGGTCAGAGCTTCCTGGGATGCCAACAAGCAGCTTTTGCTGGTGTAAAGGAAAAGATGGTATCCAAACCCTGCAGGCTGCTTACAAAGAGTATCAGGTTCTTACTACCACTCAACAACAGCATTAGCCTCCCTCAAGTCCATCCAGCCCCAAACTCCATCCAGCATACTTGTGAATTGGGCCTGAGAGGCTTGCTGGCAAGCTCCCCACTGCCCAGCCCCGAGGGTCCCAGCTGCAATCCTGCTGTGAAAGTGATCCAGACTGTGAAGACCAGACTGCTTCTGAATGGCAGCCCAGTTCCCAGATCAAGTTACAGCTGTGGCATCCCATTTGGAGTGGGGTCTTATGTGGGATATGCAGAAAATTATCATTAAAGCTGGTCCAACAGCACAATTGGCAGAGCATCGCCATGCCATGAGAGAGCAGGATTTTCTCTCTCTCACCAGGGGCATTTGCAGGACTGGGCAAAAGTTTGGGAAATGTTCCCACTTCCCAAGCACAAGTACTCTGACAAGTCATGGTCTCCCTGCAGAGCAGAGGTCACCCAGCTCACCGCAGAGCCTGGCACTCATATCACAGTGACCCCATGGTGAATGGGGAAGGGCACATTCCCATCTTATTTCCCACTGGGAAACTTGTTCATCTGGGTATAACTGGTTACACCAATTCCTGGGAACTGGCTTTTCTTCTATGCAAATAGAATAGTTATTACTTCAAATAAGCGAAGTGTAAAAGGAACGAAAAGGCTTATTCCTAGATAATTTATTAAAACCTTCAGCACTCAAGGTTAAGTTCCATACAATTACATTGTCTCCAGCTTCTGCACTTTCAAGACTTGCAGTGTTGGGTGGAGAAAACATCTATGCTAACAGGCTAGAGTATCTAAGGCCCTGAAGAAATGTTACCTAATTACACAATTACAGGAGGTACAGAAGGGTGTGAACTGTCCTTTGGCAGTGAAGATGCAGGACAAGATCCAGCAAACTTCATAGACTCAAGGAAGTGGAAAGCACAAGAAGCTTCACAAATTAATATTAACAATGGCAGCAACTCCCAAGGGGAAGTGAAACTGAGCCATGAAGTTCAGACCCAACTTTTCAGAATGAAGGGAATGATTCAGATCTGAGGTTTCAATTCCCCAGTTATGAAGTTGAGGCCAGCCATGAAATTCAAGTCAGGCTGACACCACCCTTAGCCTAAAAGGCTTCTGGATTTAGGACCAGAGAGTATTTCTACTTTACAGGTTCAGGTACCCATCTTAACTGAGCTTCAGCTGAAATTAATACACATCTGAAAAGTCTCTTACAGCAAAATCTGCATGATGTGCACGTGAGGCGGTCACTATGTACACAGTGAAATTCCAAATCAAATCGACAAAGAATTTCACAAAGTGATTGGGTTGCATTATTTGAGGTCAGTAGTCACCCCATATTTGCCCTCTCCGCCATCGACAGTGATCTCAGCAAAGCTAGTTAGAAGACTACAGAATACTTTGGGGATAAAAGAAAGAAAAGAAAAGCAAGCCAACCAAAACCTTTAGAAAACACTTTAGAAAACAAATGCATACTTCAACATATAGCTTAGGGACTCCATTCTTATCTCATTCATACTCATAAGAGTCAAGTTTAAGACAATCAAACTCAAGTGAATAAAATACAGGGAACAAAAGCATTTTTCTTTGTACCAATACTTGTTTCAACTAAGCTATTCCATCACATAAGCAGAAGTTCTAAAGGCCTAGAGAAAGCCATCTAGCCAAAGAAAAGTTGCAAGATAAACCAAGATGCAAAATTTTATTGAAAATTAATGTCACACATCAATATAGCAACAGCCTTAGAAACACAAGAAAATGTTTTTGGTATTAAGCACAAGGACTACATCATGTTTGAGGATTCATTTAAAATATACTGCTTTTTTTCTCATTTTCTTTTTGAAACAGATATCTGTTGCACAGTGATTTTCATTAAAATTGTACTTACTATGTCTCAAGAAAGATTAGAAGTAGAAGCATTAACATTTCTTTGATATCAATGCCAACAAAATGCATTTTAATATCAAGGTATAAGGACTTCAATTAAGAGGCTATTATACTTCTTGGAACAGTCTGATACAAAAGGCACTGAGTCACATTCTGCAACTGAAATTTTTCTCTCTTCAAGAGGCTATGTAATTATTTAGCAAATAACATTTGTAGTTATGCAAGCTCATATGAGAGCAATTGTCTCTCTGCTTCAAGGCATATACTGATCATCTCAAAAGGTCAGGAAGGAACTTCCTTCTCCCATATATGAACCAAGTTCAGTTCACAGGTTACTCTGTATAACTCTATGCTTTCCCAGCTCACTGGATACCAGCCCTTCACCAGATGTAGGAAACTGTCTGGGTAGACCAATTATGTGATTGAGTGACAAGTCCCAGAGTCCTCATTGACTAGAGGAGCACACTGACCTGTAAGCAGCCTTAATGCAAATGACATCAAAGGTTCATTAAATACAAGGACAGAGCAGCTCAGGTTTAGAGTTTAAGATTTCACCCAAGCCCCTGCACCTACAGTTTGCTGCCCCTGAAGAGCCAGAGCCAGTCACAATGCAGAAACACACAAGTAGAATCAAATCCGTCCAGGTCTGTGTCTGTCTTCCCTTACAGTAGCCATAGCAAGGTCACATCCTAAGTTCACACAAGGTCAACGTGCCTATTGGCAATGTTTTTTAAAAGCAAGGTTTCCCACTGGGCTGATGTAGTTTAGTAATAGCACACAAGTGACACAGACAATGCTCAGTTGCACTCATCTGTGCAGTGTCCTGCACACATGGGCTTTGAAAGCCCGTGAAGCAGGACAATAAAAAGCAGAGAGAGACCCTTGCTCCTCACATCCCAAAGAGCAAGGAACAGTGCATCTTTTTAACCACACCAGTGGTTTGTAGGCTTGGTAACTAACTGGAAGCAGGCAGACAGCACCTAAGGGACAGGGTTGGTGATAATGACTTCCCTTGGATTTCAAGTATGGGAATTTCCCAAGGCAGGCAGTGGATGCAATCTGCTCTCCAGGGAACGGAGCTGTAATAGAGGGAGTGGATATATATCAACCAGTTGACACAGACTGATATGACCTGACTGACTGATAAGGCCCATTTAGTCCACTTAGTTATTCCTTGAAAGGAAAAGACTTTCCTGAAGCCCCAGAGATGGAAAAGAAGCAATGAAAAGACAGCTGGAAAAAAGTTTTCACTTTATCTGCAGAGGACAGACTACAAAGCAACTAAAATTACTTTCAGCTCCAGGTATTTCATTAAAAAAAAAAATAAAAATAGCACCTTCTAAGCACCTTGTAGCTGGAGAGCAAGTCAAGTCACCGTTAAGATCACTTTCACAATCATCATCCTCTTATAGCTAAAGTAGAACAAACTGGAAAGCCTTTACAGAGAACAACAGGGTCCAAATAATTTACATTCTTATTTAGTGGAAGTCTGAGATGAGGTCAGACCAGATGATGAACTGGAGCATGAAATGGAATTTCCCAGGGCAGGCTGTGGATGCCTTGTAACTTCTGGTGGGCTGCCTCCTCAAACTTGCTGGTGGACATGCCCTGGAGCAGAGCTCTAGATACAGATTAGTGTTTCCCTGTCACAGTATTTTCATATTGCCATCCACAAGCAAACATGACCAATATCCAGGAATAAACCTTCACTGGAAGGACAGACGACAGTGCCAAGCATAATCTTACTACTGGGCTGCATTTACAGTTCAGATCCCACCTCTCACAGTGAAAGGAATTGCACTGCCATTCTCCCAAATAAAAAGGCACAGAACAATAGTTACCTGCTTTGTGATCTTTAAGAATTTCCTGGAATTTACAGGCAAAGTAAAGAGGCACTTGATTTTGATTATCTTTACACGAGAAACAATGGTAGAGCTGCAATTATAAGAAATAGTCACTACTGGGGTTTAATTAGTTATTTTTTACATATTAATCACAATTTTAGGGGCTTTTTTCCATCAGCCCTCCTCCACACTCCTATGGTAGAACAAGTCTTGCTAAGACAACGAAGGAGATATCCAGAGATGGGATATGGCTCTCAAAGGAGGTGTTAGTACAAGTCATCACCTGCTTAGATCACAGCTCTGCTGCCTGGAAGCAGATGATATGATGTTCAGAGATAAGAGTCTTCTCCCAGTGTATCAGGCATTTTTTTCATTAGTGGGTGGGCCAGGAGGCTCGCTCTGCATTTGAGAGGCACCTTCTCTTCAGGTTGTCCTGACAAGTTTGTCAGAGCTGGGTATGCACCTGCCCCAAATAAATCCAGCACAGACTGCACTGCAGGGCACACAGGTCCCCATGAGTATTAATACAGTCCCAGGAGCTGTTCATCACTGGCATTTGCACCTGAGTTCTGCTCCCCAGCCACTGCTGATCTGGTC